GGGAGGGCGGGCCGGCGCAGGCACTGCTTGTGGCTTCCAAGTTGCCCCGACCCAAAGTTTGGCCAGTGCAGCGGAGGGATCCTGCCCCGCCGCGCCGCGCCTCGCAGCCCCGACGACAATTGGGGACAATTTGCATCTCAATGGCCGAGGAGGCGCGGCGGGGTGGAGAAGGGGAGGCCGCGGGGCCGGGCCGGCGGGGCGAAGTCCGGGTGGCTGAGCGGGCTGGACTGCGGAGGCCAAGTTTGGGGAGGTCCCTGACGAGCAGGGGCATGGAGCGCCCCAGCCCGACCCCCAGCCGGCCCGGAGCAGCCCTTGACCCCGAAGAAAGGTGGCCCCCCGGCGTGGCCACAGGGCCAGAGACTAAGGGCCAGAGGGGCGGCTCACAGCTAGTGCCCCGCCTCTCGAAGGACGCTCTCGGTCACTGCCTGCCCCAACACTGTACACCTGCAAGGCCCAAGACCCAGCTCTGCACAGCCTCAGACCACCGTGGCCCTCCCCAGACAAGGGCTTGTCCACCGATGCCAGAACAGGGCCCCAGCACCAAACCGCTAAGCGCTGTCTGTTCGCCAATATCAGCGCTGGGGCAGAGCCTGTCCTGGCCCTGGGGAGTGAACTGAAGACAGAAAGTGGCCCCACCCCGCGGTGGGGCCTGCTGAGGTCCAATGGCCCTGGCTGGCAAGGGTGGAGATGTAGGACCCCCACCCCCACCCCACCCTCCAAGCTGCCCGAGTCCCCACGCTTTTGGAGGCAGAAGGTCTGCTCAGGGAGCAGACAGATTCCCACTTTGCCACCCAGCCTGCTCCCTGCCTTCCTTGGCCCACCTGTGGCTGGGCAGTGGCAGCAGGCTGACCCTGCTGGCCCAGGTCCTTGGCTGCTCCTCCCTCCGGGGGCCATGAGTAATTTCTGGGGCATCAGTCCTCTGGGCAGGCTGCACCAGCGGACTCTCCCCTAGAAGGAAGAGTGGGGATCTGAGCACACACCCCCCAACCCTTGTGCTTCCCAGTGTCCCCCCACCAGAGCCCTGATTGCCCCATCCAGCCCTGGCCAAGGAGCAGCCTACAGCGGGATGGGGAAAAGGGATCCAGGCCTGGGGCCTTGGGTCTGCGTCTTGGTGTTCTGACAGCCTGTCCACACTGGACCTCTGTCCTCCAGATGGCCACTCACTCTTGACAGTCACTCCAGCCACAGTGGCAGGAAGCCAGGCCTCAAACCTGTGTTGCCTGCGGCTGACGAAGCCAGGAAGGCTGAGCGTGGTAGCCGGCCGAGTCTCCCCGACCCTTGCTAACCTAGGCCTGGCTGGGGGCTGGGGCTCCTGATGGATTATGAAGTCCGGACACTGTGACCTTCTGCTGGGGAGGACAGGGCTGGGGAGTGGCCCATGCAGGAGCTAAGGAGAAATGATGGGGGTGGAGTAGTGGGGCACCCGAGACCGCAGTGAGAGAGTAGACGTGAGCCCTGCAAAGGCTGCATGGGGCCTCCCTTCGTGTCCCAGCTCTGGTGGGCACCCCTGTAGGCCCATAAGGTTGCCAGAGACTAGTCCAGGGAGGCTGGGGAGCTGGCTTGCAGTGGAAGGCAGGAGGTCCCCGTGGTCACCTTCTTGTCCCACTCCCAGGGTCATCAGGGCAGCCTCATGAGGAGACCTGTGGACAGTGGCTCACTCCTGTCCCTCAAGGAAGCCCACCCAGCCCAGCCATCACAGAAGCCCTTTCCAGGACATGTGTCCAAGGTACAAAGGTGTCCAGCTCTTCTCTGAATTGTCCAGCCCACAGGCAGAGGCAGGTCCCACCCCCACATGGCCTTGAGCAGGCTCGGGGGGCATGGCACCCCTGTTTTATAGGACACAGAGTTGGGGCTCAGAGACTCTGAGGTAGGCTCTGAGGCGGGCAGGCCGGGCCCTGGTCCTCAGGCTGGTTGCCCACCTTGCAGGGAGCAGAGGGGGGTGGGCATAGGGGTGGGGGCTCAGCCTAGAGGCTCCAGGTCCAGGGGACAACAGGGTTTGGAGGCTGATGAGCCTGAGTGTGGCCTGTGGTGAGTGACCTTCTGACCCCAGGGGTGGGTGCTGCTGCCATAGAGCTGTGGGAAGATTCCAGAATGCTGAGGGCTAGCCCTGGTCCCCTTTGAAGCTCTCTATAAATCCTTGACCTGCTTGTCCAGTTGCAGCTCTGAGGCCTGAGAGGGGCCAACTCTAGGCTCTCCTGTCCAGTGCTATGCTAAGGGCCACACCCATGCCTGGCCTGTGCTCTGGATTTGGACCCAGCTCGGCTCTGCTGGCCCCTTGGGCAGCTGCTGCCACCGGGCCTCTGTGCCCATCTGCCCCGAGATGAGATTCTAAACTCTGGGCTCTTTGCTGCTTCAGAAGTGGCACTTGGCCTTGGAGGCTGTTGCTTGGTGCTGAGAATGGCAAGCCCCCTCCCCCCAGGCAGGTACCCGTCTCCCCCAGGCCCAGGGGGTGATGGGGTGCCTGCAGGTGTGGGCCTCACCCAGTCTCTGGCCTCCAGGCCTGACAAACCTCCTTTGCTGGAGTGCTTGCCCCCTTACCTTGTCCCTGAGTGACTTCTGGGCTTCCACTCTTGTAGGCAGCTGGCCCAGGCCTCCATGGGCTTCCTGCCCCTGAGGGCTCTTGGCTCTGACCCCTAGGTCTCCCTCAGGCTTGTTAGCTCCCTGAATTGAGGGGGGGGGGGGCAGGATGCTGCCCCTGGAGACAGGGAGGCCAGACTAGGAGGCTGACCAAGGAGGGTTTGTCTGAATGAGGGTGCAGGACCAGTGGGAGCACCCACACAGCTGGGTCCCCAAGCCCCTGCTGTGGCCAGGCATCCCGGCCTGATCACAGCTCAGGGCCAGGGTTTGCAGTGGCTGTGAGATCTCCGCTGCCCACCAGGCCCTGGGATTGAGGGTCCGCATCCCAGAGGCAGGCCCGTCCGCTCACGGGAGATGCAGGAGGGGAATGCCCGGGCATGTTCTGGATGGCTCCCACCCTCATATACACCAGCAGGTGTGCTGACAAGCCTGGTGCTGGGCAGGGGGCTAAGGGATCAGCCCTTGGCTCCCTTGGGACTCCTCATCCCAGAGGTGGACAGCGGGGCTGGCCAGGGAAGACCACTCCTATATTTTGTCCCTGGAGACTTCACTGGTCAATGCACCAACCAGAGGAGCTCAGAGAAGGTTGGGGGAGGGTGAGCCTGGGAGGGGTCTCTCAAACTCTGAAAGGATGACCACCACCACCCCTGGGACTTTCTGGCCCCTGGACCCCTCAGCTACCCCGGGCTGTGCAGGACCTGGCATGGGGGGCCTGTGGGGTCAACAGCCCCACTGTCTCCCCTAGGTGGGGTTGTGAGGGCTGGGTACACTGGGAGGTGGTTGGGACTGTCAGGATTGGGGGCCACATGGAGGAGAAAAGTAGGAATGAGGAGGCTGGCCAGACTCAGGACTGGACAGCGGCAGGCTCAGGAGGGTGGACTCCCTGGGGTGACTATGCCAGGCTCCGAGTGGACTGTGGGGCTTGGCCGAGCCACCAGCAGTCCCCAGGTGTG